TAACTCAAAAAGAGAGGCCGGATAAAGCAATGAGTCGGGGAAAAACGAGCGGTTTGGGTTGACAGGAAGTTCTTAAATCTACCTCATCCACAGAAAGTAGAATTTGAGAACTTTCTGCCCCCCCCCTCCAACCTTATCCCTGTTGCTGTCAATACTATAAATATTCTATCTAAAATCTTGCCCTGCAAATTTTTCCCAGAAACATGAAAAATTAAAACACAAATAAAATGAGAGGAAAACGACGATTCAAAGAACGTTTGCAAGTCCCCGAATTCGATCTCCTCTCACAGCGGATTGGATAGTTCGAATCCAGAAAATTACCTTCAACAATTTAAAGAATAAAAAATTTGCAGAGATTACCATAATTTTAAGTTATAACGAAATAAATTTCCTGAGAACAAAAGTAGACGAAACAACGAAATTAAAAATGTTTTGTAAATTTTGTGTCATATAGAGATAACTTTCTGTCAATCCGAACCGCTCGATTTTCCCCGACTCATTGCTTTATCTGGCCTCTCTTTTTGAGTTAGCTGCACCCATCAAGTAAGAAATGGTATAATTTTCATGGTACCTAAATGCATAGAGTACAGAAGAACTGTAATGACCAATTCTGAAGGAAATAAAAATCCACATCTTGAGGTTGCAACGCGATTCGGGTCATTTTGATGAATTTTAAATCGTCAAGCTGGCAAGACTGCAACTCTAAATTGTTCAAATGTACCTCTTCTAATCAAAAACTCTCAGATTGCACATTTTTCGTGAAATTTTGGAGGAAATCACACCTCGAAACCTTCATTTTATCATCAAATTCGATATTTTGGTGTCCGCAACTTGGCAACGCTGCCGCGGAGGCAAAAAATTTTGCATGGGCATGAAAATTTCAGTAAAGTCACATCTTATGCCAGGTTAAAACGTACTGAAAATTCAGATCGGTCAAGGCAAGGATGAGGGAGAGGGTATTTAATTTGTCGCCCCAAGGCCAATTTTGCTGTTTTACCCCTAAAAACTACAAAAATGCGATTATTTTTCCAAGAGCTCGGACAACCTATTCCGAAATTGCCCAAAAACCCATCAGGGGGTACCCCACCACAACCTCCAACTTAATTTTTGATGTACATTCAAAGTCGATAATAAGTGAGTTCAAGCGCACCGTGAGAGGGAATACGTGATTCGTATTATCGCAGATTGCAACTTTGGGCAAAAGCGGCTTGTGATAAAATTAATTTAAAATTTATAGTTTGTTTCTCCCATTGTTAATGAGCAGAAAGGAACTGTTTACCGGGTTTCACTCATTAAATTTCCCTGAACTTCAAAATAAGGGCCACCCTACCGTAATAGCCCAGTATGGGAACTTTTGCCTATCCTCCTTCTGCAAATTAAATCCCAGCTATGTTCACTAGGGTGGCCCTTATTTTTGACTTTTTTGAAACTGAATGGATACACATGTGCAAATGGTGCCTTCTGGTGCAAAATGACCAGGAAAAAAAAAATTTTTGAAAAAAAAAAATTTTTTAGTGCTGTCGCCGCGCCGGTCTCCGGAAATTACGCCATTGGAGGAAAATCGACCCGTTTGCGCACCTCTTCGCATGGTGGTTCTTACTTTTCGACTTTTCGAAAATCAAATGTATGACCCCCCTAAAAGTTGTCGTGTGGTGTGAAAAGAGCCTAGAAAAAATTTCAGCTAGATCGGATCATCCTAAGTGGTGCCGCCGGGGCAGACAAGTCTCCGAGCGGGAACTTCAAGTTCCGGACAATTGCGTTTTTTCGTCGTTTTGCGAATTTCCCCCCCCCCCTTTAAAATGTAGCTACGGCTTTGAAACTTTTAGACGGAACACACTGTTTAAGGTTCTTTACTATAAAAATAACGCACTTTACTCTTTCATTCTTAAGATGCTCTTTTTTACCCCTCAAAGTAGCCACATCGTGCGATTTTATTAATTTTTCCTAACGTTCTCCCCCCTGCTATATCACTGAAAATGAATTTCCTCGATAGTTAATATGCCTAGGTTTCTTGAATATGGTTATTTTAAGTAATCAATCCCTAAAACCACAGATTTTTGCAACATGGTCAATTTTGAAGACCTGGAATAACCCATCGGAACCGAAAATTTTGTTGATGAATTGAATTGATGTTGCCGCGGGCTTCTAGTAAATGTTCACACATGTTCAGCCTAACAATATTACACAATTTTTTAACGTAGAATTCGATTTTCACGTCAAGGAATCAATACATCGATTCGCTTTACGGATTTTTCCCGATTTTTCAAGGAACATTGGTGGTTTCCTGCATCGATATTCGTCAGTATTGATTAAAAAAAGAATTAATGTTCCTTGTAAAATCGGGAAAAATCGATAAAGCGATTCGATGTATCAATTTCTTGACGTGAAAATCGAATTTTACGTTAAAAAATTGTGTAATAATAATAGGCTGAACATGTGTGAACACCGACTAGAAGCCCGAGGCAACATCAATTCAACAAGAAAACGGCCAATAATAAGATCGGATATGCTCCCCCCCCCCCCAAAAAAAAAAACTCGGAAACCGTTCCTATGCTCATATTACATTTTCTCTGTGAGCTTCGGGTCATTATAAGCCTCCATTTCAAACTCGGTTCGATGGCCGAATTCACGGCCCAGAACTGAGCAGGCCATTTTGGGAGAGCTTCGTGAAAAATTTGAGAAATGTTCGGTTCTGATGGGTTATTTCAGGTCTCCAAGATTTACCATGTTGCTAAAATCTGTGGTTTTAGTGATCGAGTACTTATAATAGGCCTGTTGCAAACTTTTGCTAGAGCAAAACTTAGAGTTGTTTCTCATAGATAATGCCTCAAAAATCACGATGAGCGCATCGACACAGTCTGAAATGCACTCATAACTTCACAATCTGCGTAAGAAATTTGCGGTTTTTTGAGCTTCCCGCTTCAAAAACGATACTACAGCACAGGTAAACATTTTATCAGAGTAGTCGTTCCATCGTCGGCAATACTCATCATGGCCGACGCCAATCCGCCAAAGCACGTGTGATGGGACGAGATAACACCTGAACAGGATTAGACCTGATAACAATCGGCGTGTTTACGTTCATATTTTCCTCGCCCACCCTGATTGACCTTGAACTCTCCTCGAATTACTCGCGGAACTGCGCAAGCGTCGGTCATGATAAATATTGCCGACGGTGGAGGGACTCCTCTAACAAAATGTTCACCTGTGCCGTAGTATCGTTTTTGAAGCGGGAAGCTCGAAAAATCGCAAATTTCTTACGCAGATTATGAAGTTATGAGTGCCTTTCAGACTTTGCCGATGCGCTCATCATGATTTTTGAGGCATTATCTATAAGAAACAACTCTTAGTTTTGCTCTAGCAAAAGTTTGCAACACGCCCATAACCATATTCAAGAAACATAGGCATATTAACTATAATAGACCTATAAAGAGAGGAGAAAAAATTGCTTGGCAATTCATCCTCAACCATTTCTTACAAAAGGAGATACTTAGGAGGGAAAGTAGTCCAAAACATTTAACTTTCGAATTTACCAGGGTTTTGGAGGAGAGATGATCACTCCTCCACCTCTTAGATATTTTGCAATTCATAAGCATATTCTGAACCATGAGAGTAAGATTTAAACATACGTTTCAGGTTTTTAGTGGTGTTGAAAATCAGGATGCAAAACCATAACTATGACCATAAGTTCAATAGTTGCTAGACCGATAATTTTGATGTGTACCAATTAGGCTCCATTCACTCAAGCACTGATTTAAGTCCTTGAAACCATACAGATACAGCAAAAAACCACGATCAAATGAAAATACCAGCAAATGCTCAGAGGAGAGAAGAAATTCCTCACAAACTGTTCTTTTACGGTCTGTTGCATTTTATTTCTTTCTGTCCTATTCGCGATCTACAAAATTTGAGTAAATGTCTCTGAAACGCACTTAAAATCTGCGAATACATTAATATGCTGGGTTATTGAAGACTACAAAAAAAAAGTACATTGATGGTGTAGGAAACTAAAAAATGAAAAATTGTAAAAAAGGACCCTGCACACCTCTTATGGGAAGCTGCACCATGAAGGATTGCCTTCTGACTTATGTCATTCGATTCTTCTCAAGATGCTGATCAAAAGTTATAATTGCGCCAACTTTCTACGATGCACCGTTTTCGCAAAAAACCTATGAGAAGATTCAATTATTCGGTGATAAAAAGCCAGAAAGATTCCTCATTTCAGTGCTCGATTGACAAGCGGCTGTGCCTGACAAGGAAATCATGGGGACTCCTGCACCGAGCGGCAGTCTTATCTCGGATTCCGCACGCCGTTTTGCTCGACCACCATCCAAATCAGATTCTTGAGGAGCATAAGAACAGGAAGTCTGAACGTCTACCGGGCGAGTGTGGGAGGGAGATAGCCCCTGAGTCGGCAGGTACAGATAAGAAGACGGACACGCTTTACGTTGTTTCCTTGTTCACATCGGGCCTGTTCTCAAATGCTTTGTTCTTTTTTATTCATAGGCGCCGAATAATTGAATCTTCTCATAGGTTTTTTGCGAAAACGGTGCATCGTAGAAAGTTGGCTCAATTATAACTTTTGATCAGCATCTTGAGGAGAATCGAATGACATAAGTCAGAAGGCAATCCTTCATGGTGCAGCTACCCATAAGAGGTGTGCGGGGTCCTTTAAAAAGCGCCATTAAATTAAAGAGGTTGGGCTGAAGACCACAGATCAAAGTTTTACGGAAATTTCCGATGCTATAGGGGAAACGGGGAGGAAAAAGATCGCAAAATTATCAATGAACGAATCGATTTAAGAAAAAGAGCATGAATTTGCTTTCTACGTACAAGCTTCATCAGAAGAGAGGAAGCTTCTCTTTCTGATTGCCTGATACTTACGCCTCATAATCGTAGAAATTAAGTCACATCAAAGGAAACAAGCGAGAGTGAATCAAGTGACATCTTTTTTGTGATCACAAAAACCAGTTCAAGAGAAAAAAAACAGAAATACTTACAATGACACGAGCACAGTCTTCGACAACTTGATCTGTCCAGCCATCGCGGAATTGATTGTTTTTCAGAATATCTTGCCAACGACCCCAGCCAAAAGTGAGCAAGCCTCTCTCTACTTTGAAGCACTCACTGCGGGCCCAACTACCATAGGCGATTTGACCTTCCTTGGGCATTAAGTCTTCTGGGGATAATTTCAAACTCTTATGTTTTTTGTGCTTCAGTTTACACTTTCGATTACCTCTGCCTCGCCCGACACCAATTGCAGTGTCTTCATCAGACTCACCGGGTCCAGATGATGATTCGAGGTCAGACATGTCAACAACATTCTCATCGTGCCCATATCGTTTGATCTGTGTGCGCCGTCTTGGTTCACTGATCACCAGATTCTTGTCTTCGTCGTTCTCAGTTGTATCAATTTCTGCTTTTTTGGCCCATTTTTTCCAGAAGTCAGGGTCATCAATGTCAATGTCTTGACGAATCCCACTGGAGGCAAAACTTGCTTTAGAGAAAGTTGAACCTTTCTCATTTTCTAATGTGATGACTTGCGTTCGCCGTTCCAAGATCTGATCAATATCTTCTTCGCAGAATTTATCAGCAGCACTGTCTTCCTCCATAATAGCACCATATGCTCCTTTCTTAAGCAAATCTTCTATTTCTTTCTTTGTTAATTGTTTGTTGCCACTAATATCTTTACCCTGAGACGTATTCATACTCTGTAGGATAGCTTTGTCCAACCCTAATTTTAGTGAGGCTTTGTCAAACATCTCTCTTTCATACGTATTTCGGCACAATAATCTATACACTTTGACCATTTTCTGTTGACCAATTCGATGGCACCTGGCTTGGGCCTGAAAAAAAAAAAGAAAAAAAGATAGATCCTCGACTCCTGGAACATCAAAAAGGATGAGAATTGTTTCTTCAATTATCATGGGCCTCATGACACTAGCACCTAGACGATTTCAGGAGACCATAGCTACCAACTAATCAAAAAATCAATAGTTTGATTTTGGCTGTCATTTTAAGAAATGTAGTTTTTTAACGAGGTATCAGCCATTCCCATACGACCAAGAAACTTAATGGAGGAGGGTTGGGTGTGGGGAAAGAAATCAGTCCTAATGTTAGCGCCACTACCGGTTTCACACTTGTTAACAATCATCAGGTTTGTATATATGCATCCATACATCCTGGTCGTACTGGAAAATTCATACAAAAATAAATGATGGCTGATACCTTGTTTAAAAACTGCATTTGTAATGATATTTGGTTATTACATTTCGTTGATTGCGATTACTTTTGTATCTAAGATTATCCAAGTGTGTTTATATTCCTACTGAATGTTTCTTTATGGATTTAACCAGATGATAGCAATACATGATTTTAATTCTTGCCTTCTTTCAGAAAATTCTTTGTGTCCCAATTCGCTGACAAGGACATGAGCAATTGAGCATGTGAGCACCTGCCATTCCATTCACAGCTCAAGAGAAATGCAAGATTTTCATTTGAGGGTATTTCTGATAAATTACTTCTAGTCCAGTAAACGAAGCATTTTGATGGCCAAAAATTAACCTACAACTGGATTTAGGCCTAATGGATTCTACATACAGGGTGTACCAAAAGTCCGTCCCACCCCTCCTAACTTTTGAACGAAATGAGCTAGGGTGATGAAACTTTGGGAATGTTCCTATCTCAAAGGGGACCATCTTTTGGGGGGGCCAAAATTTTGACCCCCCCCCAAAAAAAAAGATGGTCCCCTTTGAGATAGGAACATTCCCAAAGTTTCATTACCCTAGCTCAATTCGTTCAAAAGTTAGCAGGGGTGGGATGGACTTTTTGTACACCCTGTATAAGAAGTTGTTTATAGCCAGAAGTCCCATAATCACGAGCCCTAGTTGCTTTACTTTCTAATGTGTAGTTGAATTTAGGCGGCTAAGATTTTACAGGGTGTCTAGTTTTTTTTTTTCATTTTGGGTAATCCTGATAAAATCCTGATTTTTCCTGAGTTTTGACTACTAAATCCTGATTTCATAATTTTCCAAATTCTGATTTTTTGCAGAGAAAACTTAAAATTTCTGCATCTCAAAGCAGAACTCGAGAGTTAAGTTCTAAGGCGAATGTAACTTAAAAATAGCTCGATAAAAAAATCGATAGGACAGCCTACTTTTCTCAAATTCTGATTTTACATCTGATTTTTCCTCAAATCCTGATGAAATCGGGATTAAATCCTGATAGGATCGGGAAATCCTGATGCTCGACACCCTGTTTTGACTATATCCAGAGGACCTATAATTGAGACTATATCCATGTATGTTAAGTTTTGGCTAAAAATGGGCCCTATATGCCTTCGTTTACTGGACCTTTGGCTGCAGTTTTACTTGCATTTTCTTGACAGGGTGCAAAAAGTACTGCAATACTGACCAACACTTCCCATACACAACATAGAACAATTCACACCACAAAATTTAGAAATAACAATGCTAGAAACTAGCCCTTCGACTTCCTCCATTTTTCCTGATCTCAGGAACTCGCCCAACATGGCTCATTTTTAGAAAAAGCTCAACCGAGACAGATATAACAGAGCTCTTATATGCCTCTGAGATTCACACATTAAGTACTTTTCCTTTGGTAAATTTTAAGGAGAAACAAGGTGTTGTCACTGGGTCATTTATAAACGAACTCCCAACATCAAAAACATCCCTCAAAGTTGAGGCAGTAACGTAAGGGAATCTCCACGCTACGCTGAGAGTCCACGACCATATCCAGTCAAACTGAAATATGCACAGATATGGATTGATTACACTGGCAGGGTGGCCAGGGTCCTAATCTTATGAGTCCTCAAACAATATGGCAACACTGATAATGCATTTAATCTGTATCTGTGCAAGGAGAGTTTGACCAGATGTAAAGTCGAACTTCCACTGTATGCTCGTTCAGTATAACCAGGTTTTCCTCCACTGGCTTCCATATTTCATAACTTTCAAAATCTCCAACTTTGCCAAGTAGTCCAAGGGAATAGATCCAAAAAAAAGCTCCCTGTAGTACGGTGAATGAAGTATGTATGGAAAATGTCTTAATCTCTTTATTTTGATGGACAAGAAAAAAATTTGGATGTTGTCGAGCTCATGTTTGCGTTTAACCCCCCAGATTCAAGATGATGGCCAAAAAAAGGGCCCGGGGATCGAAAATTTTGGAATTTGCCTCAGATGTCGTGATTGGAGTAAACTCCCATATATACGTACAAGTGGCAAGTAAGGTGTCCTTCAGAGGCTTTCTTGGTTCGTAGATCTCGCCTATTTGAGATCGGAAAGTTATTAGAGGTCTATTAAAGCCCCACAAAAGCCATATGGTGGCCAAAATGCCTGCGACTGCGGAGTGAAATATTTTTTTGAGGTTCCTTTCGTCGAATGAGGGGGTCCTGCTTAAGTTTTAGGGTTGCTGATTCCAAAAATGAGATACTGATACCATAACAAGCCCATAAAAGTTCTCTAAAAAATACAATAGTGGCCCCCATGGCTGCCGCTTAAAGAGAACTTTAGAGAAGTTACCCTTTAAATGATGATGAATTTGCAGGTGTGTTTTGTACTCTGCTGATTCCGAATGCGGTCCAAAATATCAAGAAAATATCTAAAGTGTCCAATGCATACACATACCACTTAATGCCATGAAACGTAGCATGTAAAAACATGCGCATAATGGATACCTTACCTCATGAATTGCCTTACTAGCTCTCATACACCCAAAAATATGGATGATTTTGTTCTGTGTGCTGAACTTGCGGGGATTTCATTCAAAATATCCAGTGTATGATACGAGCCTAAATAAAATATTTCACCCTGCAGCCGTCATTTTGGCCACCATATTGCATCTGTGAGGCTTCGATAAACTTGCAAACTTTCTGATATCATAAGCAAGATCTACAACCCATAAAGTCCTCTGAAGGACACCCTACTTGGTACTTGTGCGTACATATCAGAGTTTTGACCATATCGTGAAAATTATGGTGGCCATCTTGGATTTTAGGCATACTTTAGAGCTGGAAAGGATTTTAACCTCAAATTCGGATTCTACGACAAATGTTTACTCCTATCACAACATCTAAGGCAAATTCCAAAATTGTCAACCCTCAAGCCATTTTGGCAGTCATCTTGAATTTGGGGGATTAGACGCAAACATGAGCTTCACACCATCTAAATTCGTTTCTTGCCCACCAAAACGAAGAGATTAAGACATTTTCTAAACTTCTTCACTTACCATTCCACGGAAGTACATAACAACGGGACTACTGGCTTATTAGCTCTTTATAAACTCCAAAAGTTTAGAATTACTTTACTTATGGACAAAGTTTCCACCTGCATTTTTGGTCTTTCGATTACACTGCTGAGCCAAAGCACTATTTGCAAAAGCCCGTAACTTTCCAAGTTTCTCAGACCACTGGAAACCCTACAACAACAACTTCAACTTTGATAGCTTTATTGAGCTTAGGAGCTCATTCCAAAGAAAACCAGTAGCACCATCGTTTTTCTCACAAAGAAAACCTTTCAAAAAGAGAAAAAACGTAAATCACAAATTCCAAACTCATGCAAATTACAAATATTTCATATTGAAATTCTCCTTGATTATTTATTGGAATATACTCGAAATGAAGACCCCGGGGTTGAGGTCACCCTGGGGTTGAGGCAATGAAACTAATGTGGAAAAACTAAAAAATGAATTACCTGTAGGTCATTTTGCGGATTCCAATCACTATCGTATATAATAACAGTGTCTGCAGCAGTCAAGTTAATACCAAGACCACCAGCTTTGGTACATAGAAGAAATACAAATCTGTCTGAATCAGGTTTGCAATACCTATCAATGGCTGCTTGCCTCAGATTGCCTCTGATACGACCATCAAGTCTTTCAAAAGGGTATCTGAAAAGGTAAATAAACGGGTGCAGGAACAAATTAAAGACAGACATTTAGGTATAAGTACAAAGGTCATTTAGATAGAGGGTTTCCCTATTTTTATTTTCAGGAAGTGGCAAAATTTAAAAAAATTAATACACCTTTGAGGGGTTTTTGCTCTCAACTTTTTAACAGTATATTAGTTTCGTGTTTTACCCAAACTAATAGAATATTAGTTCAGTTTTTTTACCTAACAGTCTCATAGAAATTAACTTTGTTCACTGCCACTGTGAAAAATTTCCCGCAACCTTATACAGAGGGCACATAAAGGTTTGATTTTTTGGTAAAATTTCCTAGAAACTACATAAATCCTATAGGAAAAACAATTTTGCCATTGGAACGTAATATTTTGGGTCTTATAAAAACCCACGTTCTGACAGAAAGATAACCACTCTATTTAATGAATATATGAATTAGGAGTTAATCCTCAGACTCGAGAGATGATCCTCGGAATTGAGAGATAACTAATGTAATTTAATAAGTAAAGAAAGTACAATCTAATACTTTCTAGCCACATTTGGTGGTAAGTAAGAGCACCCTTCTTTATGAAAACTAAATGGAATAATGTCTTTAATACTGGAGTAGACAAGCAGTCAGTACTTACTTTCGATACATTAGATAATCCTCAAGGATGTCAAGACACCTGACCATTTGACTAAAAATCAAAACCCTATGACCATTACTCTTTAGTTTGGGTAATAATTTATCGATCAAGACCATTTTACCAGATGAGTTAATGAGTGCTTTGAAATAAGCATCAGGATCCTCTCCATGAGAGAGACGATAATCGAACTGGATTTGATCTTCAGCACCTGTGAAACATATTTTACATTCCAATGAGATATTTTATTGAGTTAAACGAACTTAACTGTAAATTGGAACAGTAACATACTGGGTGATCAAAATGACTGAAAAGGGGGTATAATTTTTGAACAAAAAAAGATAGAAGGTTGTGGTTTGTGGCATTCTTCATCATTCAAGAAGGGACATTTTTCGATGGGGGGGGGGGTTTCTTGGTGGACCCCCCTGGGGGGCAACTTTTAAAATTCAAGTAGAAACCCCAATTTTTTTAGACATAGTTAGAAAGAACTTGAAAAGGCAATAAGAATGGCGAAAAATAATTGAAATCAGTTCACTCCCTCAAAAGTTATAGCCGGTCAAAATTTTAAATCGACCACCTTTCAAAAAATCGCCGTTGAGCTCCAAATTATCGAAAAAACAAAAACAAACCAGGAATGAAAAGTTTGAAAAGTGCCTTTTAGAAAAAGGAAAAACAACTGACGTCACAAGTTCCGATGGCATTGTCTCAAAACAAAATTTCGGAAAATTCAACGTGGCGGCAAATTTGAGGAAACGCAAAAAATGAAAATTCCAGAAACTGTTATCTCTCAAATACCCTCTAGTTTTAGGAAATCAAAGGCATCAACTTTAATTCCTTTATTTGGCCACGTAAGAGCAATAATTTGCTGACTTTAAAGTTGTCAAGCGGGGCGCCTTCAATCGTTGGAGTATGCAACACCACAGGATTAAGTGTGCTGTCAAAAAATGAAGCCGATGTGAAAAAGCGCTCCTCCTTTGGGATGCTTCAGAAATTTTCAAGGTCCTCCTCCAAAGCAGCAAAATTAAGTACGATTAAATAAAACCAATTAATATTTTACAACTTCATTTGTCAAATGACTAGATACCAAGTTTAAAAAAAAACAAAAATCCGTGAAAGTGGAAACAGTAGTTTTACTTAAATCGAGAATAATCTGATAATTGCAATCTAAATCAGAATGCAGTATGATCAAGGGAACTTAGCATACTGATTTCAGCTTCGTAAATTGTGTCACCGATCAGGTAGTGCATCAGATGTTACCTAAAAAGATCGGTGCCTCAAATCGTGAGTTTGAGATATTCTCAACGCAGATAATAATCAAAAGTAAAGCGGTGTTTTCGGAATTGAAAGCGCAGCAGATATCCTCCTTGCCAATTAGGAGTGCCAGGAGTTAGAGCATGAAAATTATTCTTGGATTTTTAATTTTCAGAGAGATAAATGTCAAAAATGTCAACCGCCCCCACCCCATCAGGATAAACCATTTTTTTTCCGCTCCCCAAGTTTATGGGTAGAAATTGCTCAATTTTTCTTTTCTTCTTTTTATCGTTAAATGAGGAGGAGGACCTTGAAAATTTGTGAAGCATCCCAAAGGAGGAGCGCTTTTTCACATCGGCTTCATTTTTTGACAGCACACTTAATCCTGTGGTGTTGCATACTCCAACGATTGAAGGCGCCCCGCTTGACAACTTTAAAGTCAGCAAATTATTGCTCTTACTTGGCCAAATAAAGGAATTAAAGTTGATGCCTTTGATTTCCTAAAACTAGAGGGTATTGAGAGATAACAGTTTCTGGAATTTTCATTTTTTGCGTTTCCTCAAATTTGCCGCCACGTTGAATTTTCCGAAATTTTGTTTTGAAACAATGCCATCGGAACTTGTGACAACGTCAGTTGTTTTTCCTTTTCCTAAAAGGCACTTTTCAAACTTTTCATTCCTGGTTTGTTTTTGTTTTTTCGATAATTGGAGCTCAACGGCGATTTTTTGAAAGGTGGTCAATTTAAAATTTTGACCGGCTATAACTTTTGAGGGAGTGAACTGATTTCAATTATTTTCCGCCATTCTTCTTGCCTTTTCAAGTTCTTTCTAACCATGTCTAAAAAAATTGAGGTTGCTACTTGAATTTTAAAAGTTGCCCCCCAGGGGGGTCCACCAAGAAACCCCCCCCCCCCCCATCGAAAAATGTCCCTTCTTGAATGATGAAGAATGCCACAAACCACAACCTTCGATCTTTTTTTGTTCAAAAATTATACCCACTTTTCAGTTACTTTACGGACACCCGGTATGAATTTTTCCTGCATTTTCCAAATTCAGTATAACCTCGACTATCCAACACTTGAGTATCCGAAACTTGATTGACTAACACTTGTTTTTCTATCGCTGAAGAGAGACATTCCTGGACACAGCTTACAGAAACCAGTTTTTTTTGGGAGGGGGGGGGGGAATTGAATATGTGGGAATTTTGTACTTATATCAATTTAAATAACCATGTTTTGTAAATAGAAGAGAAAAAGGGGCGAAGTTAGTGGTTCCCGGTTACAACAGAGCCTGAAATAACATTTTTTCAGTCTTTCTTTGGTAGTTTCAACTTTCCCACATCTGGACCGCAGCTTAGTATCGGATAATCAAGAATCTTCTGAACAAGATAGTCCAATCGATGGGCAGATTTGCCTTGCAAAAATTGTGGTAGGAACAGTGTTCGAAACTCACCTTTGAGTTTTAGGAGCCATGTGGCGCATCAAGCTTGATTTTTAGGCACCATTGAAAATTTTTTAGGGGCCAAATACACTTTTTGCCTATATATTACAGCGCACTCAGTGAAGAGTTAGATGCAAGATGTTTTCGTAACAGAACTCATGAGTAGCTGTAACTTGGGGAAGACAAAAGCACTAAGAATGAAATCACGAAGAATAGAAAAAGCAAGCTTTCACTTGTAGTGCTGAAAATATTGAGTTTTTTCAATTCAAATAGATTCGTTTTTCTTTCTTTATGTGACTTCTTATGAAAATCCAGATTTTTAGGGGGCAATTTTTAGGGGCCACGTTGGCGCAGAGCCTTCATTTTTAAGGCGCCATGGCCGATTTTTTAGGCGTATTTGGCGCGTTGACGCCTGTGAGATTCGAACACTGGGTAGGAAGCTTTAAGAGTGATTCCCATGCATTATTTGGCATTGAATGGGAATTACAACTTCCCACCAAAATCTGCCCGGGAACATGACCATTCTTAAAATTAGTACTGATTTTTCTGCCAAGATGATGTATTTTTCTCTTTCATTCATTGGCACACAAATGGCAAATTTGTTTCAGTTGCTTTTTCAAACCCCCCTTCAGAATCCACTAGTTTTGATCACATAAGGTATTAGATTCACTAAGAACAAAAATGTTATGTACGCAAAAGAAAATACAAAACAAAAACCAGCTTAAGATGATCACTGAATAAAAAACTTGGAGGCTTGCTACTTTTCCAAAACAAGATGCAACAGGTTGGTGGAAAGCAACGCTTCGATTGATTTGAGTTCATTTTTTTATTTTCTCACAGAGTTAAACGCGGCGAAGGTTCCTTGCCAGAAGGCAGGGTCAATAGTGTGGTCATTCTCCAACGGATCTGTGCAGCAGCCATTTTGGATGACCTGGGGACGCATGTTTAAATGGGAGCTCAGAACACGCGACTTTGAGAAGAAATGAATCAGTGAATTCGAAAACACACCAACTCGGGTTCTTTTCGATTTTCACTTTTTTACGGTTTAGTAACACTTGTGGATATAAGCATCTGCACGCAAAAGGAAATTTCGAAATTGCAATCGAAAGTGCTCGAAACAGCGACGGGAAAAGGGAAAGATCGAAGTATTTCATTGGAAATACCAATTTTTGGCCATTTCAAGGGAAACGGGTGACCATCTGATTTTGCGGTTTTCCTTTTTCCGTTCAGTATACCTTGTACCAACAAGTTATATAAATATTCAAGCGTTATTCAGGTCGAAAAATATACATTTTTCAGGGCAGACTATGAAAAATCAGTATCTGAAAGTCGGTGAGGACGAAAACACACCAACTCGATAATTTTTAAACACTTAATTCTCTGTCATCAAACATGGTGTATCGATTTCAACTTGGTGCTTTACAGAGTCTCTGAGCACTTGTCCTTTGGCACCAAAAAGGTTTTTCTTAAACTAACTTCTTCGCCCGCTGCGCAGTTTTAGGTGTTTCCTGAACAATTTTTTTTTTCGGAGTTGGTGTGTTTTCAAACTCACTGATTCAAATACGCAGCTCATTGATATTGTTTAGAAAAATTTCAGAAAATTCTTGTGAACTAAAACGCAATCTCTAGTTTTCAAAAATGCAGGAATTACACATGATAGGTGGTGGTAGCCACTATCGGACAAGATCTAAGCCCGACAACAGTGAGAGTGGTCTGAAGAAAAAAGTGGCAGCCACCCATGGACACACCTTACTCCCTTAATCTGAAAATTGAGTTGGATTCCACTGGAATTTAGAGAAAACGGCGTCACCGATTCCGACGATCTTAGGATCTACGGACGCAGCTTAATTGGGGCTTCAGACCGATGACAAGTTTTGTGGGATCCATTGAGTTTGTAAAAGTTATGAGCACTTTAAGGCCCAAAACGACAAAAATTTTTCCTAGCATGAAGAGAGCGCGAATAGAGGTTGTTCCAAAAACGCCGATTTTGCCCCCCCCCCCTCTGGATTTGGCCCAAACTTTGCTTAGATGTTGTACTAAGTGTCCCTGATGCTTGGGCAAAATTTCAGCCCCCTCGGATAATTAGAGGGGAGGGGGCAGGGGCAGGGGGGCAAAGTTGCAATTTTTTCAAAACTTTAAAAATTGATATCTCGCAAACAGTTTGAGTGTAAGTGTTGCGGTTTGCGCTAAAAAACGTTAAAAAATATTCTCTACAAGAATATTAATGTTGTTTGCACGGTTACGTAATTAATCGTAGTCATAAATCGATTTTTCGGATTTTGAAGGTTCGACTTTTTTTCGTTTTCCGTCTCTCCTCTCCAGGCGATTGTTGCTACGTGAATAAAAACATCATATCTGTGTAAAAAGCGGATATCAAACATCCACCAATTTTAGGGGTGACTCAGAGATTCTGCAAACCTTGTAAAGTGTTGGTGCCAAGTTTCGGCCTTCTGGCATAATTTTCCACTAATTGTAAGATGTGAATAAAAGAAACCACTTTATACTAAAAAAAAAGTTCTAATAGCAAAATGTAATCCAATTGGGAGGTGCAAAAATATCACTCACCATTTAGCAGATAAGGATGAATACAACATTTACGGAGCTCCATCATCGTATTCATCAGATTTGGAACGTTTGCAGATGTTGTACCTTTAGATAGGAAAGAAAAATTCCTCTCTAGAATACCTCTATAGTATTTCTTTTGAATATTAGTTAGTTCCACCTGGAAAAAAAGAAATTTTATGAGATAATGGACATCTATTTCACCACATTGTAGTATATTCGGTAGGTGGAATAAGACAAAGATGAGAGAGGGGGCAAAAAGAAGATAATATGACTTGAAAAAAAAAAAAAAAAAAGGAAAAAAAAGAGGAAAAAACTAGAGAACAGAAAAAAAGGATTCCTTGAATAGTTAGAAAATCCTAAAATTGAGAAGATGGTTACTTATCACTGACACTGAAACAGACAGGAATATCTTAAGCATTTTAAACCTGGTGAGCATGAACTGAATCAAAAAGTTCAAAAAACGACTTAACCTGGGTTTTATATGCTTAGCAGAAATGCTCTTCAAACACGGTGCGCTTGAACTCACTTGAAATGCGACTTGAATTTACATCAAAAATTCAAGTTGGAGGATGTAGTGGGGTACTCCCTGATGGGTTTTTGGGCAATTTCGAAATAGGTTGTAGGAGCTCCTCGAAAAATAATCGCATTTTTGTGGTTTATTAGGGGTACAATACCAAAATTGACCTTGGGGCGACAAATTAAACCCCCTCTCCCTCATCCTTGCCCCGACCGATCTGAATTTTTAGTATGTTTTCACCTGGTATAAGATGTAACTTTTCTGAAATTTTCATGCCCATACACAATTTTTTGCCCCCGCGGCAGCGTTGCCAAGTTGCGGACTCCAAAATGTCCAATTTGATGATAACATGAAGGTTTCGAAAATTCCATTCAATTTCAAAAATTCAAATCGCAGGTTGTAGTAGGGTACTGCTTGATGGGTTTCTGGCCAATTTCGAAGTAGAGTGTTTGAGATTTTTGAAAAATAATCCCATTTTTGTGGTTTTTTAAGGGTAAAATAGCACACTGGACACGGGGCGGCAAATTAAACCTCTTCTCTCTCATCCTTGCCGTGACCGATCTGAACTTTCAGTATGTATTAACCTGGTATAAGATGTGACTTTTCTGAAATTTTCATGCCCATACAAAACTTTTTGCCCCCGCGGCAGCGTTGCCAAGTTGTGGACTCAAAAAGATCGAATTTGATGATAAAATGAAGGTTTCGAGGTGTGAATTCCTCCAAAATTTCACGAAAAATGTGCAATCTGAGAGTTTTTGATAAGGAAAAGCATATTTGAACAATTTAGAGTTGCAGTCTTGCCAGCTTCACAAACAGCAAAATGATCCGAATCGCGTTGCAACCTCAAGGTCTGGATTTTTATTTCGTTCAGAATTGGTCATTACGGTTCCTCTGTACTCTACGCATTTAGGTACCATGAAAATTATGCCACTACTCACTTGATGGGTGCAGCTAACTCAACAAGAGAGGCCGGATAAAGCGAAGATTCGGGGAAAAGCGAG